TTATGTCATTAAATCCGATTTCACCGACATGCAATAAGTACTGAAGGCAGCAGCACCGAATAAAATATTAGTCTCGCTATGTAAATAACTTTTACAGAATTTTTTTGATGGTTTATTTAAAAATATATCATGCTTCGATTTTGATAAAACTTAATATAATCTGAACGGGACGATCGACCAAATTAATTCGCACATGTAAAAGTACAGTATTTTATTAACATGATAGAAAAATGTCATTATCTGCTGTTTTATTGCAGTAATTTTCTATACATTCCTTGGTAGAAAATTAATTTCGAATTATCGTACCAGTCTCTCTTACATTATTTATACGCTAAACGGTTTCGTCTATATTTTGCGGCTTAAAAGGCGAACAAACTATAATATTTTTCTTCCTTAAACTTTAAATGGGCAATACAAAGCGCTTTTTATCAAGTGAGGAATTGGCGTAGTGTCTAAGGCGACGGACGATTATCCAAAAGATGTCTTCAGTTCAAGTTCGAATCTCACTAGAGAAAATATTAAAAATTATGAAAAAATAATGTAGAAAAATTTTTTTTGTCATAGTATTTTATGAGTATTTATGAGAAAGCGCTTATTCTATGAGTAATTATGAAAAATTATGAGAAAATTTAATTGAAGAACCTACAAAACAACAGGATTTGCGCGCAATCTGCAACCAATCTGCCGTCATAGTCTGTCGACAGGCTCTGCGCGCAATCTGCCGCCAGTCTGTCGTCAGAGTCTGTTCGCAGACCCTGTCAACAGTCTGGCGCCAGATTGGGGACGCAGATGTCTATGGATCTGTCGACAGATCCTGCTCGGATTCGACAGATCCTGTCGACAATCTGACGTCAGTCTGCGCGCAGATTGCTTACTGGGTTATTAACTGTTGTATTAAACTATTATATTAACTGTTCAACATAACATTACTTTAATATTTTTATATTTTGAATAACGAAGAAAATCGATCGGTACTTTTAATCTTTGTATACTAATGTTTCAATAAATCTGCAAAATCCAATTTTAGCATAGAAAACTACCAACAGTTGTAAAAAAAATTTTTTAACGCAGCTAACGTTAAATCAATATTTAACAATATTAATTTGCAACGTCTACCAGACATTGCAATTTAACGGACATTAAACATTTCTACAATATCTTTTCAACATTGAATCTACATTTCAAAATGTTGGTACAATATTGTAATGTTGCAACGCAATGTTTCTGAAATGATTCAACATTTGCGTGCTGTATGGGATAACTAATGAATAAGTAAAAAATATTATATTACATTCATAATATTTTTGAAATATTGCTGCAATATTGCTAAAATAATATTGCAAATTAATGTCACTGCAATGTCTCTGCAACATTTCACTGCAATATGCAATCTTGCAACATTGTAGCAATGTTGCTGCAAGCTTCTGTGCTATATGAGCAATATCTACGACGAAACCCATACAGCACAGCAACGTTGCAGCAACATTGCAGCATAATTGTTTTCTAATATTGTGACATCCCTTATAGAAATATCATACTAACAAGGAAACGGTCGGGGGCGTCCCTCACCAAATTTGATGAGCATTGGATATGTTGTAGAGCATCAAAAAACATTAGACACGTATTTTTTTTTATGTGCTTATCTCGAGGTTTAGGGGTTGAAACCACCCCTTGAAAAAAACGGACTTTTTCATTTTTATTTAATATTTCCTAAAATATGAGGTATATGAAAAAATATTTCAGACAAAAGTTTTACAGTATCTTATGCCCTTTCCATCGGTCTATTCAAATTTTTTAAAATGCAATATTTCACCCCCCCCCTCCCTCTCCCCTTCGTCACCTTTGCAAATTTTTAAGTTTTTGTAAGGACAAAAATTAAAAAGCATTTCATGCCAAATCCATCGATATATAATAATAGTATGGTTCCTCGATTCAATTCTTGGCAAAACTACATGACTGATAACTTCGCGTTATAGGCACCGCGTTGTGCGAGTAGGTAAGTACTGTACGTTGCGTTGGATTACTTCTCTTCACTTGCGCTATGTTTTATAACTACTTGCGCATATTTTCTCATATTACAAGATAAAAACGAATTAATTCTAATCATATGATATGTAATATACGAAATAAAGACGTAAGCAGAGATAAACAACAGTAAGCATATATAACAACAGTAGCAAATGTGCGCGGCGTCGCAATTTGTACAGAAGTTTTCAATGTATATTAAATATGTTTACTGCAAAGTAAATTGATACAAGATCAAGGCAGGTTAAAATAAAATTGTAATGCATGAAATAAAAGAAACACATATTCTATTACTTTTGCAAGAGAGAGAAAGCGTGTAATGTGAATATACAATATATAATTACTAATTGCTAAAGATAACAGAGAACTCCGGATAAATTATGGAATAGTAATATAAGGAAACAAAGTAGAAAGGAATAATAAATTGTAGTAGAACAATATTTGACAATAATATTTATTTAACAATATATTTTAAAGCAACAGTACAGAATTTGCATATGAACGGATAATGTATTATATTTATTGCACATATTCGTTACAAAGATGATGATCATGGAAAAAATGTGTAATACAAAGCGATTTTTTACACCAAGAACAAGTAATTATGGCAGTTTCGCCACAAATATCGCAATTTACTTTCGAATCCCTTTGGAAACAAAATTCAACCGGTGTTTGAAACTCTGTTGGTCTAATCTCTACATATCCACTTTTAAACCATGCATATCGAAATAAACTTTGAAACCTAGGCGACGAGAATTGATGGTGCGTTAATGATTGTAATTTCAAAATATTATTTCTAGTATGAAGTTCAATTGCAAGATTTAACAATAAAACAGTATCAGAAAAATGTCTAATAAAATTTTTCCATAATCGGAAGCCGTATACATCTAATGGCTGTATTTGTCCTGTTGTACCGGCTGGAATTGTTAGAAAAACAATATCTGTTGCATAATCTGTTCTAGTTTCCGCTATTATGTTGGGACAATGCCCACTCCAAGAATCTAATAATAATACAGATTGTGGCCCAACATTCGGAAAAAATACTTCTTTCAACCAGGTTTTTACATGATTTGACGTTAATTTTCCTGATGTAGAAGCCGTAACAAAAATATTAGGCGCTTTGAACATAGTTTCCTGTACTCTAGGACCAAATGTTCCTGTTACTTCCTTTAAAACAATGAAAAGCGGAGACAATAATCTACCATCCGCTGAAATTGTCGGCTGTATAGTATAACTATGCGTAGTTGCTGATATGGACTGTACTACAGATTCTATCTTTTTTGTGCCTTTATGTGATAACGTACGACCGGAATGAAATTCTAACTGAAATCCGCTCTGATCAGAATTATAAATATTTTCTAATCCATATCTACCAATGTAATATTTTACGTTTTCAATAAATGTATTGCATTTATTTTCAAAATTTGATTTTGATAATAAGGATTTTTTCGTGACAAATTTGGTTATTTTCCGAGACACAATATTATATGCAATTTTGAATCTTTTTACCCACGTCATTGAAGCTTTGAATTTGTCCACATTTTCTTCTTCTTGCGCTCGAGATGCCCATCGAGCGATGTCAATGTCATGAATAATCATTCCTTTTTCAAGTGCTTCATTGAAGCGATTTAGTGTGTATTGAGATATCCTTTTTAATTTTTCTGTTCTACTACCGCCTTCATTTACTTGGTTGTCCCACCGTCGTAATTGTCGTATAGATGTTACCTTTCTAAATCTTCTTTTAACTCCTTCAAGCGATCTTGCTCCTGTTTTACCGCTCTTCCAATAATCTATTGCTTGTTTTTTATAGTCATGTGATATACTTGCTTCAACGGAAGCGCAAATAACTTCTTCTGGAAGATATTCTTGCCCTTCATTTTCTTGTAATAAATCAACATTTTCTGCTTCTGGAACTTCATATGTATTGTAAAAATCTAAAGTATCCTCCTGTTCTATTTCAAATTCATTATCATTTTCTACTTCTCTCAACATATATTCAATCTTCTCGTTCATTTCAATTTCCTTTAGAGTTATTGGACTTTGTGGAGGATTAAGAACATTGAAAGTTGCATAAAGCAACGTAATAACGTTCAAGGCATTAAATTGCATCATTCTGATAAAAAATATTAAAATAAAGTATGTCTTTTGAACTGTGATTATATAAAAAAAAAATATATACTTTATAATAAATGCAGTGGTCTTCTGTTAGTTCTAATGCCGCTTCTTTTGCTTCTCTTTGTTGATACCAAAAATATGTAGTGAATCTAAAATAAATCAATGTCGTGATAATGGAGAAACAGCTTTATAAAAGATATAGAGAGATAGATCACATAGGTGTTATGAAATTTTAAATAAACAAAAAAATAAAATTTATCAACTTATAACAATTTTAGTAGTACCTTTTAAATATTCGTCGAAACATCAATCACAACATTTTATTAGCAAATGATTCTTTAGATACAAAGTCAGAGAATTACGTAAAAAGTGATAGAAAATGATGAGTTACAATAATACAATACTTTAATTACACATGGCACACATGTATGTGTATCCAAAATTAATAACTATAATTATAATTGCACAATTATCACAACGCACAACTCTTTACTTTGTCAACTCACGAGTTAAAATGTCAGTCTTCCGGTACAACGGACATTTATATAGTGGCTATATGGTATGTATATACAATCTATTTTTACCAATGACGATCGCATGATTCTATTCCTGAACGTCGTTTGGCACGACGTTTGCGATCTTCAAAACAACAATATACAGGGTGACTCATTTTAATTAATGCACTCAAATATCTCAAAACCTGTAAGTTTTAGAAGGAAACGTTTTAGACAAAAGTTGTATGGTTTAAGGGGGACATAGATTCCAATGTGAGTCATGTGGTAGATGTCGTTTTCAAGAAATTTTAAAGGTAACGAATTTCTTAAATGAAACTCGGATATTTTTATCGACGACTGTACTTCAGATATATTCTTAAGTGATTAAGCATATATGTAAGAAAATATTTCATATACCATCTGTGCAGTGCAAAAACAAGGTCAACTAGTGCGTCATAGTTTTTCAGTAACAATATTAAGTCACTCATATTAATATATTTTGCAATCATTTTCCGCATAGAAACAGAATCATGTGATCGTGATTAGTAAAAATAGAATCATTCGATTGTATTACGTTCTATATAGCCGACGCCGCGCACAATTGCTACTGTTGTTACATAAGCATATTTATCTCTGCTTACGTCTTTATTTCGTATATTACATATCATATGATTAGAATTAATTCGTTTTTATCTTGTAATATGAGAAAATATGCGCAAGTAGTTATAAAACATAGCGCAAGTGAAGAGAAGTAATCCAACGCAACGTACAGTACTTACCTACTCGCACAACGCGGTGCCTATAACGCGAAGTTATCAGTCATGTAGTTTTGCCAAGAATTGAATCGAGGAACCATACTATTATTATATATCGATGGATTTGGCATGAAATGCTTTTTAATTTTTGTCCTTACAAAAACTTAAAAATTTGCAAAGGTGACGAAGGGGAGAGGGAGGGGGGGGGGGGAAATATTGCATTTTAAAAAATTTGAATAGACCGATGGAAAGGGCATAAGATACTGTAAAACTTTTGTCTGAAATATTTTTTCATATACCTCATATTTTAGGAAATATTAAATAAAAATGAAAAAGTCCGTTTTTTTCAAGGGGTGGTTTCAACCCCTAAACCTCGAGATAAGCACATAAAAAAAAATACGTGTCTAATGTTTTTTGATGCTCTACAATATATCCAATGCTCATCAAATTCGGTGAGGGACGCCCCCGACCTTCCTTGTAAGAATCATTGATAATTACTTATTTTCAGTATTAAAAATACTGAATAATAAGTAATTATCAATGATTCTTAGTATGATATTTCTATAAGGGATTGCAACAACGTTGAAAAATGTTGCTACAATGCTACTGAAACTTTACAGCAACGGTAAAATGTCCGCTTGCGGCAATATAATAACGCAACTGTGCAGTATTTTTGCAATGCAATATATATGTAATATTATTAATATGTTTTATTATACAAAGTAAAATCCCAGATAATACCTTTACAGGAATATAATACTAATAAATATTAAAAAATTATTAATGATTATGTATTACCAGTAATTCAGTAATTTTTTCGTCAGTACTTAATTTCTGGTGAATATTGATGATAAAATCACTATTAAATATTGATAGTAATCAAATACTGAGAATTATTTTGCGAATGTGAAAAATGAGATAATCATAATATAAAAAAAAAATATATTTATAATTCCCAATTTTCTTATGTCTCATAAACTACTAAGTGTCGAAGATTATCAATACACAACTCCAAACTTTCGTGAATCTTCCCTCGATAATTTTGATCCCAAACGGTATACGACCGGTCACATCTCATCTATGTCCTGACTCCGTTAAAGTGTTGCTTAACCTGACGATCGAGCGACACGCTGCGATTCCCAATGACTCCGACGATATTCTTATGATTTGTGTTTATATAATTTATCCTTATAGTGTTCACAGTATATTATAACATACCTCCTTTATAGGAATATCATACTAAGAATCATTGATAATTACTTATTATCCTGTATTTTTAATACTGAAAATAAGTAATTATCAATGATTCTTAGTATGATATTTCTATAAGGGCTAGCAAACATCAAATAATAGTTATATAACTTTTACTTGGTGTTCGTTGGATAATTCACTGATAGATATTGAAACAACGCAACAACATTCGATATGAGATGAATATCCCTTATAGAAATATCATACTAAGAATCATTGATAATTACTTATTATCCAGTATTTTTAATACTGAAAATAAGTAATTATCAATAATTCTTAGTATGATATTTCTATAAGGGATTGATGTAATGTAGTGAACCAGTAATAATTACTTTTAGATTTTTAACAGAATGTTATAATGATTAATCCAAACCAAAAAATAAAAAATCCAAGAAAATCCAAATTAAACAAATCGAATTACTAAATTTTGAAAGAAACTTTTATAAAAATACTATTTAAAACAATAGTGTTGTTTCATCAAATGACATAATTTCCTTGAAATAAAAGTTTTTATTTTTATCATTTCAAAAAATATTTCGTTCAAGAATATAATATTTTTTAATGAAACAAAATTAAACAAGAATATTAAATCTAAAGAAAGTATTTTCTCCGAAAAAACGGTATAAGAAATATGTAATAAGACAAATTCTAGTATTAATGACTGCCACTAACAAGTACTATTCTAAGTACTATTTTATAAGCACTATTGATGTGAAATATTACTGAATTTGAAATGTAAGTAACAAAAATAACTAGTAAATAAGTAAAATATATTATATTATATTCGTCATATTTATGAAATAGTGCTGCAATATTGCAAATTAATGTCACTGCAATATGCAATCTTGAAACGTTGTAGCAATGTTGCTGCAAGCTTCTGTGCTGAATGTGTTCAATAGAAAGTTAGCGATGAGGTACTTATAATATAGAAGTCGTTACAATACATTTGATATTTTTTCAGACACTCTGTGAAAATGCGACACTGAAAAAGATAAAGCTACTTCTTCTACCCTTATAGAAATATCATACTAAGAATCATTGATAATTACTTATTTTCAGTATTAAAAATACTGGATAATAAGTAATTATCAATGATTCTTAGTATATTTCTATAAGAGTAGACGAACATCCTAAACCGGAAATATGAATACGCGGTAGTTTCTCGAACTTAGATGTATTTTCCACAGTGTACAATTGTGCAGTAAGAAAAGGGATACATTTAGGCAAGAAATGCTTTTTTTGTCAATAGGATAATGGCACAATATAGTGTATTAAATACGAATTATACAGTTTTTCATTTTTACATCGTATTGTTCTTTTTTTCACATCATAAAATATCTGTAAACATTTGTACATACAAACGTTGGAAAAATAATCTCGAGGATATTTGACACTTTTAATAATCCCTACATTCTATCTTCATATTATATAATGCTTTTATAGTCATGGTTGTTCTATCGAAATTCTCGGTTATTCCAATATGATTCCTCTTTGTGGGAGTGATTTTCTTTCGTAAATTTGTCACGTTGAATTGATTGACAGCCGTATTCTTATGATGCATCTCGATCTCGTTTTGTATACCTTTATCAACAATATACGTAGTCTTTATTCGTTCCAATGCTTCTCCTAAAATATCAATATGTATGTTATATATCGTAATCTACACAAAATATGACTAAAGTATATTATGCTGCTTACGCTCGTTCTCACGAAGTATTAAATCCATAAAGAAAATAATGTTCCTTATAAATAGATGAAACGAATCTTCGATATCAGGTGACTGAATGACAAAATCGGGATCGCAAATTGTAAGATGACATAAAAATTCGATGCCTTCTCTCAACACTTGATGTTGAGTCTTTCTGATGCCAGACCAAAAATTTCGATCTAACTTTTCCGGGTAAATTTCCATCGGATGTTTTTGCACGCTACATTTTGTTCGACACATATATTCTTTATAATTGACTCTCTTCAAAGTATAATACTTGGAGATATAAAACGAATCTTGCCATTCAATATTATTAGTTACAAGCAATCCGATTTCGCAACATTTTCCCAACATATTAATCGTGAATTGTAATAATTTTTTATAACAGTTACATGATTCCGAACTCTCGGTTCTTCGTACATTTTTATTATTCGTTTGTATCATATATCCTACAGTCGATATTAACGCGTGCGTCATATTTAAAGTAGTGAGAAAATCTGGATGAAAGTGCTCCATTTGAGTTATAAGAATTTGTAAGACACAAGCATCTGCAATATAGAATATATGTTTACTATTAGATTTTCGCACATATATTTTTATATTCTTCCTTCATTTAAAAATATGTTAGAATACTAAAAACATTTATGTTAAAAATATTATCTCAATATTTAAAGATATACCTGGTGTAAAATGTAAAGCGCCTTTCCAGTTCTTTATCGCTATTGATTCTGTTAAAATAAGAGTATCAAAAAATTAGTGTCAAAAAATACAAACCGTGCGTAAAATCCATTCATGCAAAGTTCATACTTACGTGAACCCTTGCAGAGTTTTGGTACGAATGCACTGTATCTACTGAAAACCATTATGCAACGATTTAATGACGCGTAACAAAGTGACAGCGGCCTCGAAAAAACCAGTTCCTTGAATATGAGACAAACATATTCCAATCTGAAAAAAATTATGTTGCATTATTTATATAAGATTTACAAGTCGCATTCAGGTCGTGAAATTGATAATTGTTTATAACGATAACACATTGATATACCCTCTTTCGCAGAAACCCACTTTTTCCTCTACATTACATAATAGTTTCAAAATGGAATTTATGAGACCCGTAAACTGATGAGATCTCCTCTGTAAAGATTTATATTTATCAATCATTACAAAACATCCTCAATAATTAATGTACACGCAGCCTAAAAAATAAAATATACTCACAACACGCGCTATTAAAGTGACACACTCCTTTATCATCTCGAGCATTTCAAACTCGTGGTTTTTCGTCGGCCATGCATTATAACGTGTCATTCGTGGTAAATAATGATTGTAACACTCATCATTGCGTGTGTGCAACGATGTCTTCCCTGCCAAATAATTGCTTAAGTATGATGATTCGCAAGTGATGTGCGAAAGTGCACCTAATAGTCTTCTTGCTTCGATACCACGCTCTCCTTCATGCCACGCATCTGCTTCGCATTCGGACTTGACGCATATTTTGTGATCTTTATAAACTGTAGAAAAATATAGATCATTCATGTCTCGAATGTCATCATTTCTCATGGCATGGAAAATCATTTGCAGAACCGTTATAACATTCAGCATTAACTCCCTTGTAGTTAAGACTAGCTAAAAAATACAAACGTGTGTAGAAACTTCAATCTTTTCTTTGTTACAATTAATTTTATTCAAACGTGTTATAAAATACCATGTTGAAATTGACAAAAATATTTCTTTTAAATCTCATAATTATTTTCTACCTAAAACATGCTTACATTTGCCTCTCTCTTTATGTTTTTTTCTTATAATTCTTCTAAATTTATCATACGAAATTGAAAGAAAAAAATAAGTTTTAAAGTAAGTATTAAAGTAGGACATAATGAGTTAAAAATACAAAAATATCAGTCGTCTTTGAAAAAATTTTAAGTGCTCTTTTATTTAATGAGATTTTTAGATCACGTACATCTGAGAAACATATGAGATTATGCGAGCATCTAATTTGCACACAAGTAATTATCGGATTTAAATACCTTATTGATTATGGAGATGCAATTTTCTGACTCAATCTCCGCATTAACTTTTCTTTCAATAGCTGCTAGTTCAAGTAAAACGAATTCTGTTGTCAATTTTTTTCCATCTATAATAGTAACTACTGGTTTTACCAATTCGGGATTTTCTGTAAAGCAATCACATATCACTGTAGAAAATATGCAATCACATATCACTGTAGAAAATAATTTAACAAACATACTTACCAAAGATCCTAAACGTTCCTTCTTCTTGCAAAATAGGTAGGTTTCTTTTACCAATTTTTTCTATAACCTTAATGTTAATAATAGGTTTTTCTGGCACTGATGCTCCAAACATTAGTTCTGAAATTTTGGCCAGAGAAAAATCTATAAAGTATTTAAAACATTATTAAATTATGATAATAAAATATATATTTTGTTGTACTTTTTCTAGCATACCCACAATTATTGCATGTCTTAAGTTGGTAATCGCTTTTCTTGTAAATATTAGCTTGTGTGCTTACTTCATTCACTTTTGCTACATTCTTACTTGTTATATTTACAGGCCTGTCAAATAAATGTTAATTCCATATATGCTTTGTGCTATAACCATAAATAATTTGAGTTTAAAAAGCATCAACTTACCAATTTGTTGTGGTATTGTATCTACTTTTATTCAAAGAAATATTGGTATGCAATAATTGTGGTTCTTTTAATTTAATATTTCCAGATTCCAGTTGTTTACAGCGTCCCAGAAGATTTCCTATTTCTAAATTCTGTATATTAATAGATAATATCATTACTTCTATAAAATTTAGTAATAAGAAAATACAATAAATATATGCACTTACTTGTAATTCTATCTGTGTCTTTAACTGTTCCTTCTCCTTACAAATTTTATTGATTTCTTGTCTATGACGATTGGCTTGGTCTTCGATTAAGTGCATTTTCTGTAACTTTTCATTTTCAGCCCTCAACTGGATTTGTTGCAGTTGTTGCCGTAAAAACACAGTTTCACCATCTTTGGTTATAAAGTCATCCAATAACTTTTTGTTTTCATTCTTTAATCTTTCCAATTCTATATCATCTATAAATATATGTATAAAGAAATTTTAAATAAAATTTCTAACTCTTAATACACACATATACACATATATATGTAATATATATATATATATATATATATATATATATATATATATATATATATATATACTTATTTCTATTAAAAATATATCAATATATACCAGGTATAATAAAGTTACTTCCTCTCTGAAAAGTCGAGTTATGATCCTTCCTGTCTATTAATTTGTTTCTGAATTGGGAGTAATTAACATCCACTATATTTTGACTATTCAGGCTAGTATCTTGTATAGTCTTTTTTAACCAAGGGTTGAATTTTTCTACAGATACTGGTAATTTTAATCGTGGTATTTCATTACATTTAGTCGTACTTGCAGTTGCAGTAGGTTTCTCCAGATCAGACTTTACTGGATGTGAGCTGTTCCCAAGTTTTGAATTATCTAACACATTACCTTCCTTTTTTTAAAAGAAAAATTGAAATTACTATTTGCCAAAGGTTCTATGTGTTTGTTTTTCGAAATTCAAAATAAATATTTCTTTAATGCAGTACCAGTAGGCATGCTTGAGACGCGACAAAATCCATTTCCTTGATGTCTTCTTCAGCAAAATCATCACCCCAAGGATCATCATGTTGTGCATTTTTGTTCCTGGAAAGCTCCTTTGCCAGTATCTTATTGTATTGCAAATTTGTCTTGGGAACGTCAAATTTTGCTCGTTTTGCCGGCACGCCAAAATCGTTGTCCATTAACATATTCTCAGTCCGTTTGAACATCGTAACACGAGGCGTTCTGTTAAACGTCATAATATAACTCGCGAATTTTTCTACTAGCGTGATCTTTATACATTATTTACCTCTATTTAATATGCATTTTTCCCTATAACGGTAAAAATTATAAATTAGCTATTTTCTTAATATCATTTCGTCGCGGCGGACAATGAAACATTGCGAAGTAATGAACAATTATCCACATAAATAAGTTGACAGAATTATTTAAAACTCATATCTTAATTACACATATCTTGTAGCAAATTCGGTAGCTTGCACTAGTCTCTCTCTCTCTCTCTCTCTCTCTCTCTCTCTCTCTCTCTCAGTATTGGTTTCAGGCAGGGTTGAGACATTTTACAAATTCTAGTGTTTTTTACATTATACATAATATACATGTATATTACGTAATATACATGTATGTTACGTAAAATATGTAAAAAAAAACGTAATATACATATATTTAATGTCCGGTTTTACTAACGCAATGTAATGAAATCGGTTAATTTACTCAACGGAATTGTCCAATCGCATTGTTCAATTGCTAAACTGATCCATGTGATTGGACAATTTAGGAGTATATTCTATAATTTTTAACGATATCGTTATGTATCATTGCGCAGATTTTTTGTATTATGAAATAACTGTGCAGCGATACATAACGACATCATTAAACACATAGATCTTATAGATATGGACTAGCCATTGCCTATAGTTTCTGCATTAGAAATAGTGTTTGGAGGAGGTTAGAGAGAGAAAAGCTGGTAGCACACAGAAAAATTTAAGTAGTAAGCAAATTGATCAATCACAGTCATTGATTCTTCTGGGTGTATATCAGTTGGACACGGGGCAATTGGACACAGTCCAATCACAAGCCGCTGTTCCAAGGGACCCTACAAATGTCTCTAATCACACGGTGCTGTGATTGGCTGTGTCCAAATGCACCGTGTCCAAGTGCACCGCTCCCCACACATACACACACGCATATATTAATATAAATTAATATAATTACTTAAATTAAATTACTTTTACTTTTACTACTATCCTTTTGTTGAAGAACACTTTGCAAACATAACATAACCTTTACTTATAACATGTGAATTGTATGTTGAAACTGACATGCGCAATGCATACTTCCGGACATTTTAAGAAAGAGAAGTACTGAAAAGTCTGTTTGGGCCGTGGCACACAGAAAAACTTGAAGGGACGTCTACATTGGAAGTAAACAGTAAGAAGTAAGAAGTAAGAATAAGAAATTGACCAATCATAGGGTGCGTTCAGGAGACACAGCGGTTACACAACGGTTGAGTAATTAATCAACGTAATTGGTCTAAAGTTAGGGATCTGACAGTAAGGACCAATAATCACTGACCGCTCACTGATCAGCTATGTTTTCTGAACGCAGCCATAGTTAATTATTCTTCTCACATTCGACTGTGGTTGGTCAATTTTTTATTCTTACTTCTTACTCCTTACTGCTTACTTCCAATGTAGACGTCCCTTTAAGCAGTAAGACGTAAGCAGTAAGCAAATTGACCAATCACAGTCGTTGATTCTTGGGCCGTAAGAAGAATCGGGAATTGCTTACTGCTTACGTCTTACTGCTTAAAGGGACGTCTACATTGGAAGTAAGTAGTAAGAAGTAAGAAGTAAGAATAAAAAATTGACCAACCACAGTCGAATGTGAGAAGAATAATTAACTATGATTGGTCAATTTCTTATTCTTACTTCTTACTTCTTACTGTTTACTTCCAATGTAGACGTCCCTTCAAGTTTTTCTGTGTGCCACGGCCCAAACAGACTTTTCAGTACTTCTCTTTCTTAAAATGTCCGGAAGTATGCATTGCGCATGTCAGTTTCAACATACGATTCACATGTTATAAGTAAAGGTTATGTTATGTTTGCAAAGTGTGTCCAATTGCCCCGTGTCCAACTGATATACACCCGTATGTGTGTAATGTATAAGTTTTGCGAAAAAATATAAGTTATAATGCCTAAAAAATTAACATAACATTTTATTGCTCTAAAAGTAACAATAATAATATAAGTTTCTTTTGTTATTGAATACAGTTTGTCTTAAAAATAGATATAAATATATGCACTCTGTAATGTAAAATAAATTATTTGAATGTTTTTTTATATAATACTTCATGTTAAAGATACCCAGATAGCCAAACCTGCGCGAACAGATTTCGAGCAGAGCTTGCTATCAACTTTTGATGGCAAATAGATAACAAATTTGATGCAGGATCTGTTATATCAAATCTTGCTGCCAAATTGCCGCCAGATATGCGGCAGAGCTTGTTGTCGGATAATTGCTGCAGATTTGCAGCAAAAACCGCGCAGAGCTTGTAGCGATTTGACGGTAGATTGGCTGGAGAAACCGCGAAGACTTTGCTGCGTTGCAAGTTTTGCGCGGTTTTTGCTGCAAATTTGGCACTAATTGCCCGACAGCAAGATCTGTCGCCAAAACGGTAGCCTAATGTAGACACAGTTGGCTATGGTTTTGCTGTGGGTTTTTTATCAAATTTGCTGCCAATCTGCGCGCAGTCTACGCTCAATTTGCTTACTGGATAACTATATATGTTGAGTTTCTTATTTTCAAAATTTTAGTATTTAGTAAATATTTTCTGTATATTTCTTCATAGAATGAAAATGTATTTCAAAATAGAATTAATCTTTATATATAAGAATGTAATAAAGGGATTTATATAGATAGAAATAAAAATACACTATTTACTCTTTGTTTCTCTTTATTTATGTTTGAATAAAATTAATTTTGTTAATTTCTGTCTTTCTTTCTTTTCTTTGTCGTACATATTTCCTAAATGATGAAATCTTATATTAATATTAGGTGCGCAACTACGTTCTCGCTATTTTTTTTTATGAAAATGCAACTTTATTGTGAAAAAATGGTTACAAATGAATCATTTAAAGTATTGCCCATCGCTAGCTACAACTTTTTCCCATCTTTCTGGCAGAGCTCGAATACCGTTACGGTAAAAGCGTTCGTCTTGTGAGGCTACCCACGAATCAAGCCATTTTTTGATGTCTTCATATGAACGAAACTGCTGATCAGCCAGACCATGTGCCATCGAACGGAACGGGAGCGGTGCACTTGGACACGGTGCATTTGGACACAGCCAATCACAGCACCGTGTGATTAGAGACATTTGTAGGGTCCCTTGGAACAGCGACTTGTGATTGGACTGTGTCCAATTGCTTCGTGTCCAACTGATATACACCCAAAAAACGACGCTCAACGTCCCTTGGCTTCAAATCATAAGGAACCCAAGTTCCTTGCTTTTGAATCATTCCCAACGCATGCAATCGCTTGGAAATGGCTTGGCGGGTAACTCCTAATGCTGAAGCAAGCTGTTCTTGCGTTTGGCACGGATCCTCATCGAGCAATGCCTCTAATTCAGCGTCTTCGAAGGTTTTTGGCCTTCCTT